GGACAGCTGCTGATCTTCATGGAGTTCCCATACTCCGTGGGCGAGTACTTGAGAGTCTCCACCCACGCCCAGAACATGTCCTCACAAGAGCTCCACGTGGGACAGTTCTCGGGCATATCCCAGGGGTATCCCCAAACAGGATAGAGAGCACCCCGGGTCTCGGGCTTCTTACGACAAGTCGTGAAGTCCTTAAGGGAAATGCGGTGTTGCGCGAGAAGCACACACCGAGCAGCCTCCAAGTTGTCGACGAACAACTGTTCTTTCTGAACAAGGGCTCGTTCATAGATGCCCCTAGAAGTGTGGCCGCCCACAAGGCCACGAGGAGCGACGAGAAGCTCTAAGAAGAGGTCAGCCCCAGAGCTCTCCTCGGGAGGCCAATACCCTCTTGAGTTGATGGCAGCTCCCTGGCTGACGGGTGCCGCCACCGAACCCCCACGCACACGCTGGGCAGCTTGGAAATTCTCCTGCTGCTGGTCGAGGTCATTCGAGACCTCCCGGGGCTCAACAATGGCACCCTCCTCTTCCTCTTCTTCCTCCTTCTCCTCCTCTTCATCCGAGGAGCCGAAGAGACTCTGATAGGAGCGTCGAGTCTCCTTCTCCTCGCGGAGTGGAGACTTAGAGGCGGTACGCTTCTTTGAGGGCTTGGCGCCTTCGGCTTTAGAGGCCTTAGCGCGCGCAAGACCCTCGGCAAGCGAGAGACGTTTGCGAGGATTCTCTTCCTCATCGCCACCGGCTTTGGGAGCGCCCTTAGCCTTAACGGCCGGACTCTCAGAGCGCACAGAGGTCCTGGGACTGTGATCACCGTCATCACTAGCGGGCGACTGCTCGCTGCCTTCTTTGTGCTCACTGGGCACTGGGCTGTGCCCTCCCACAGAGCCCGCAGGAGCATCCTGAGTGCTCTCGGACTCGGCATCGTCTTCACTGCCCGAGTTGAACTCGCGTTCTACGAACCGAGGGTTCGGACGGTTGTCTGAAGACGAGGGCGACGGACTGCGGCGCCTGCTTGCGCGCTTGTCCGCAGCCGCGTCACCCGAGGAACCGATCGCCTCGGAGGCCACCTGAGTAGCCTCCTTGAGTGCAGAGCCTTTGCCGTGAGGCTTAGTGCTCTTGGCCTGCGCCTTACCGGCTGCAGCCTTGGAGCGTGTCTACGCACCGCTCTTAGTAGTGCCGCGAGGCATGTTAACGGTCGAAGTGGAGACCTTGACGAAGAGCGCACAGGTTGCTGCTCGAGGCTCTAGCTGTGAAGTGAGCCTCCGCCGCGCTCGCGCGGCCAAGTCGATGGTTTTCGACTTTGAGAATGAGAGTTTGTGACGAACACCTCTTCATTCTGATTGGTCGGTAAACCGAACCTAGGTGGGGGAGGATGTAACGGGGTACGTAGCCCTAAGTGTACCCTGGTTACATGAAGTGTGACACTCCACACTTCAGGAGTATGACACGTCATACTCCGAGATATTTGGTACAAGGTACCAAGGTCGTTCAAAGCCAACCATTGGTTAAATGACATTGCATTTCTATAGGTAACTAACAGTTTGTATTAAACCCAAACTTAATCTATCTATAAATATACTCAGTTTACAATCTACCTTATTTGGGTCACTTCGCTCTCTTTAATAAAAGAGGGGACCTGTGAACTGCCGTTCACTGAGAGTTTGTATACTCTCGGAAGATAACTTCCTCTTGCGCAAGGTGCTGTGTGACCCCGTCACACCGCATGAGTCGGAGCTGCACTGCATTAGCCTGTAACGCATCTTGTGTACGTCCGCGTCGTTGCACACTATACTCGCCATTGTATTACTCTTTCCCACATCGAAGGTCTTTAGTGCGTCGAGAATAAGCTCGGCGTCACGCGCGTCAGCGGCGAGCACACGCTCGGTCCAGGGAATTTGCTTCGGCTTACAACGCAAATAGTGTGAACCACACGAAACCGTAAGTCGTATTTATAAGTCCACCCATTTATTGGTGAGAACAAAATTTAGTCGACATATATTTGCTAGGTGATACGGTAAGCCTCTGATTGGTTGCTTCTGATCTTCTTGCTGTACATCCCGGGAGATCAAAGACAGCCCATTTATTTGTGCTGGTACCGTAAAGTTTTGTGCTGCCCAGAGTTTACGGTGCTGCAGAGAGTCTATAGTGCCGAAACGTAATGTAATGTGAAAGCAATAGTTTCTCTTTTTTTTTGAGTCCATCAAGGATACGTTTTTCATTTAGGTACAGCACAGTATTGCGGAAAGCACAATAAGTTAAAAGCAAAGAAACACACAGCTTAGTAGAGAAAACACGGAGCTTTGCAGAAAAAAAGGGTTTGAAACTCGGAATAGTATTTCGGGAGAAATTGAGCTTCGAAGTTTGGTGGTGCATTTCATCTCAATAGTAATTTCAAAAGTGACTGCTCTTCTATTTACGAGACACGCTGCCGGCACGAAAAGCGCACAATCCAAGTCGTTGATGGGCCACACGTGAGTGTCAGCTCTTGAGAGCTTCTCATTTATGGGTACTTGTAAATGGAAACATGTTTCCCATAAAGTGTCTAAAATCCCGAGCGCAAGGTCTATTTCTAACGCACCATGCTGGCAGCAACAGCAAATAAAACTCTACTGTTTGCCCTCAATCATATCGACATCGCTTTGTGCATCTGCATTGACCTTCGCGGCGTCTCCCTCACTCTGAGCACTTTGACCTGAGGCCACAGCTGTGCTACTCGCGCTCCGAGCCATCGCCGAGCGAGATTTGCGAAGATTCTTCTTCATCCGGTCAAACATTCGCTGATCCGCACGCGATACCGAAGGGAACACGCGGTCGAACGCGCTGATGAAATGGTGATGCTCGATCCGCAGTGTTGCAGCGCCAGCGTCGAGTCTCGAGAAATCCGTCTCGCGCAAGGCGGTGATGCCAGCTTCACGCACCAACGCGCTCAGGTCGGCTCCACTGAAGCCCTCGCAACGAGGGTCGGCAGCGATGGCCTCGAGCTGAACTGACGAAGCCATCGCACACTTTGACGAGACGGTTTTGAGGATCTGGTGGCGCTCCGATGCCTGGGGCAGTGGCACATACAGCAGCTTGTCCAGACGACCAGGACGCAGCATCGCAGGGTCGATGATGTCCGGGCGATTCGTGGCGGCAATCACAAACACGTTGCGCCGGATGTCCAAGCCATCCATCTCGGTCAGAAGCTGGTTCACCACACGCTCGCTAACGCCGTTGCCTCCAGCATCGCCACCAGCGCCACCGGAGCGTCGAGGCGCCAACGCATCCAGCTCATCGAAGAACACGACACACGGAGACGACGCACGAGCCCTCTGGAAGACTTGGCGCACAGACCGCTCCGACTCGCCCACGTACTTGTCGAGAAGCTCTGGCCCTTTGATGCTAATGAAGTTGGCGCCACTTTCGTGTGCGATGGCCTTCGCCAGCAGCGTCTTACCACAGCCAGGAGGTCCGTACAGCAACACACCAGCAGGCATAGACAGCCCAAGAGCCGCAAAGCGCTCCGGATGCGCAATAGGCTGCAAGACTGCAAGCGACAGCTCGTCGCGCACCTCGTTAAGAGCACCAATGTCATCCCACGTCACATCCGGAATCGTAGCAAAGCCCTCACGCTTCGAACTAGGCTGGACTTTGGGGATTGCAGCGTCAAAGTCGGCCATAGTAATGCTAAGTGGAGCCAATTGGGCCTCTGTGAATGGCTCCACCTGAGCTCGTAGATCATCAGCCGCCGACGCAGCCTCCTCGCTATCGGCTGCCGTCTTCTCCTGCGTCTTCTCTACCTCCATCGCGTCGTCACTCGTGCCTGCATCTGACGTCTCAGTCTCCGCGGACACGTCCACCTCCGCTGCCAGTGTCTTCACCGCGTTAATGTTCGTGAAGATGCGATTCACAGCTCCCACCGCCGCCTCTTTCGTCAGCGAAACCAGGTCCGCTCCAACGTATCCAGGAGTCCGTCGAGCCAGCGCTGCAAAGTCGAACTCTCCCTCCAGCGTCATCTTCCTGGCCAGCACTCGTAAAATCTTCTCCCTCGCCTCCTCGTCGGGAATCCCCAGACAAATCTCACGGTCAAAGCGTCCAGCTCGACGCAGCGCCGAGTCCAACGCGTCCGGTCGATTGGTCGCGCCAATCAGAATCACCGGTTTGCCACCGGTATTCTCCAGACTCAGCGAGTCGGTGCTGGTCAGCAACTGGGCCACAATTCTCTTCTCCATGCCACGTGCTGACGTCTCTCTCTTGGGCGTAATAGCGTCGATCTCGTCAATGAAGATTATGGACGGGGCTCTACTGATGGCTTCATCGAACAGCTCTCGCAGCTTCTGCTCCGACTCGCCCGACATACCCGACACGACTTCGGGCGCCGAGATCTTCAGGAACGTCGCGCCACATTCCCCTGCAATCGCATGCGCCAACATCGACTTGCCTGTGCCTGGTGGGCCATGGAGTAGGACGCCTCGAGGAGGCTCCACGCCCAGATGCGCGTACACTTCTGGGTGCGTCAGAGGGTACTCGATGAGCTCCCTCACCTCCTGTAGAATGCTCTGGATGCCTCCGACGTCGCTGTATCTCGCACTGGGTCGCTCCACCACGAAGCCTCGGTTTTCGTCCGTCTCTGTGCTCTCGTCCTCCTTTTTAACGCGTTTCCGGAGTATTTTAACCTTCTTCACGGCCGGCGGTTTGTCAGCGGTTTGGTCCGCGTATTTCTGCTGCATGGCGCGATTCAGCGAGTTTCCGGCGCCTCCTGCCGCCTGTTGCTGTTCCATCGCTCGGAGCTGCGCTTCGTCGTCGCTGCCGCTTTCGGAGCGCGAGCGCTTGGGCGTCTCACCGCCACTGGGATGCGCCTTCTTCATCACTTTGGCCACAACTTTACGCAGCGCGCCCTGAGGCTTTCGCTGGTACTCAGCGTATGTATCACGCAGGTGCGAGGTGACGGTCAGCTCGCTGGGACGCGCGCCGCGCTCCTCGCACTCGCGCAGATAACGCCGCACATGGAAACTCACCTTGGCCTCCATTTAATGACGCTTTATTGGGGAGTGTGACTGGCGGAGAGGTTAGAGAGCGGTGATTGGAGAAAACAAGATGGAGTGGCTCACATAACATGTTGAAGTACACATGGCTACATTACATCATCACTTTCGTTGATGAGCTCGTGATCACTTTTTGTTCATGGCGGCTATCGATTTCTTTTTAATACAGAAATCTGCCTGAATAAGGAACGCCTGATATAAATTAAGAAAGAGATTGCATAAGCTGACAATGCCTCGCTAAAAACAGACTCTGATATCGGATCATGTCCATGTATTGAATTAAGCTAGGATAAATTGAAGATTCGACTTTTGAATGAGACCAGAGGGATTCCAGCAGTGCTGAATCGTAGAAGCGCTAGCTTTAGACCATGCAGCCTCGCACCAGAGCAGTGCAGCTAACTGGTCGACGTTGTACGGGTTGTCGAGGCCTTCGCCTAGGCGATCCAATGCGAACATCATTTTTTGCGATAAGATGTGCGTTGAATGCAATTGATGATCCCCTGATCCAGTTGCTGGATCTTGGCGGTGGTGTTCGGGGGTAGCTTCTCAACACGGACGTTGCCTTCTCGGACCAGGTGAGGCGGAGACGATTGGAGGACATGGGGTGCTGAGGACGCAGTCGGCTAGTGAGCTTGAATGTAAATGTAGGAATGAAGTTCGGCTCGCAGGGCTTGAAGCGAAGGAGGATCACCTACTGCGCGCCATTTTTTAAATTGAAATCAAAGTCAGTGCCTGGATTGTTTTGTCAGTACCTTGCCCATCACTTTCCCATCTCCCTAAATCTTTCCCGACTATAAAAATTGCGAGGTTATTAGTTGAAACCCCGTTCCTTATTCAGGCAGATTTCTGTAACGAGGTTTTAATCTCATTCTGCTTTTGTACTGCTATCCGGATACTTGGTATACGCTCCTCCATCAAAAGAGTTCCATCATGCCCGCAGTGCCAAAAGAGATGACCCACCGCTTTCTGGGTAGGCATCGAAGCTTGCGCTCGGTTCCTGTATGGAGTTCGATGAAAAATACACGGTGGTCGAGACTGCATTCGAAGGCGTGAACTTCATCGACACGGCCGAAGTGTGTGGCTTGGGGCAGTCGGAGAAGCTACTGGGTGGTGCCATCCAAAAGGGAGTCCATGAGGGCGTCTTCAGCCGTGAAGATCTGATTATCTCCACCAAGATTTACTTCGGATGCAAGGACATGGCGACAGCAGGAACCAATGGGCAAGGGAGCACTCGAAAGCACATCTTGGAAGGCACACAGGCGTCTCTCGGGCGTCTGGGTCTCGACTACGTGGACGTCATTTTCTGCCACCGACCTGACCCTTTCACGCCTGTCGAGGAGACTGTGCGTGCCATGAACTATGTCATCAACAAGGGCTGGGCCTTCTATTGGGGAACCATCGAGTGGCTCCCTTCGCAGATCAACGAGGCCTGCGAGATCGCCGACCGTCTCAACCTTATCCGACCCAAGTCCCAGTACAACATCTTCGAGCGCTCTCGCGTAGAGTATGCCTACGTCGACCTGTACAAAAAGTACAAACTTGGCCTTACGACGTGGTCTCCGCTGGCATTCTACAGGTTAGTACAGCTCTGACGTGCCGGATGGCACTCGCTTCACGACCGCCAAGTTCTCGACCGGCCGTACAGTGCCGGCTTTAAAGGACGCGTGAGGGTAGCGAACAAGCTGAAGCCAATTGCTGAAGAGCTGGGCTGTTCACTGCCGTAAATGTCGATCGCCTGGGCTGTTGCGAACGAAAACGTGTCGACGGTGCTGGTAGGGCCAGTCGCCCCTCGCAGCTGAAGGAAAACTTAGAGGCGATGGCATTTGTTGGCAAGATCACACCCGAGGTGAAGGAGAAGAGTCAACTTTGTGCCGGCTGTGCCGGAGATGCATCCGTTCGCATTCGGGCGTAGTCACTTCTTGTAGTTTTTCGGCAGGGCAATGCAGATTCCCATAATAATATGCTTTTATTTTTACATGCCTTGCTGCAGCAGCGCATCCCTCAGTAGCATTAGCATGCATAGCTCTGTTGAATATACACGGTGCTATTAATAGACATGAAGAAGCTCCATCATAAAGACACACAAAGCATGGCGCCTAAGGGCTCGTTGCTGCAAATATGATTATCTTTCCGGCCGCAAACGCACGTCCTGCCAGCAGCGGTCGGCCTCATCTGTTGTGGCTGAGGCGCAGCAAAACCAGACTGAGATAGAGTCGTGAGAGCCGGCAGTCGAAAACTTTACTCGCGGTTAGTACTGTAGATCAATTTGCACTAGTACTGCTAAAGCACAAATATTACCAGCTATCTCACTACTAAGCAAAAGTAATGTAGATTTACAGCTACTGCTATTAGTACTAATAGCACTACTTCCGTATTATTAGTAGCAGCATACTGACCACTATTTCCCAACCCTGGTCGCAATACGTAATGAAATAAGAAACCTTACCTCAGAATGGGTTATTACCGAATAAACGCCCCCTACCGAATAGTTTCCTGTGGGGTGCTACATGCCTGCACTATTAAACACAAGCCCCTCCTGAATAGAGTCCTTACCAAATCTGCTATTACAAACTTGCTGACCATCCATTCTACAGAGAGAAACGCTTTCCCGTCATTTCCAATAATGCCTCATCAAAGGTAGTCAGTTAGCATTGGGCGTAAGCAAGAGGTGATCAAGTGGATTAAATATGTCGTTTCAAGGACCTACTGTACATGGAAATTAACGCTTGGAAAGAGTCAGACCGAGTCGAATACACTCGCTTTGGTAACCCACGTATGCCAAGTGTTGACACCGTTTGCGATTGGGGCCTCCGCGCGTGGCGAGACACGGATGAGGCAACAATCATGCGGAGCGTTGAAATAGCAGGCTTCTCGAGAGACCCCTCGTCGTGGTTTATATCCAATAAAGTCCTCTCTGTCACTTTCGGGCGGCACTATTAAATATAGTCCGGACTCTAATAGGGCGCGTCCGTTAATAGCATGTAAATGTTGACCCAGTCGGACAAGAACGCTGTTGCCAACTCTTCGCAACGAAGCCACGATGGTATTAATAGCACTACAGCCCCAGGAACGGTAGTGGCCGACGAAACTGAGATTTGAGTCAGTAAAGAGGGACTCGCTATGCGACTCTTGCTTTCAGCAACGAGAGAGAGACTTGGCGTTCGAGAAATCGTATTTTCCGGTAGGGGTCCATTAGTTTGCTGAAACTAGTACATACTTCGCTCATGGTACGTTAGCGTTTACTAAATGAAGGAAACGAACAAGCACATTGCTTGTGGAGTATCTTGGTTTTTTGGTTACTTCTATGAAGAAAATGTATTGAGAAAACAGCAATATCCAGATCTTCCCGGGCAGCGCACGGTATTTGTGGTAAGAAGAAATGTGGTGTATTAGGTTTCTCTCTTGCTGAGTGACGAAGGGATAAATCTCAAAACCATATTTACATAAAGTCTTTCTGCTCAACAATTTTATGTCACTGAACCAAGCCTTAACCAAATCTGTACACTGTTCACGCTAATTAGTTATACCCACACTTCCAATTTAGCGCGCGACTGCTCAAGACTCCGGCCTTGGGACTAGGAATAGCAGCAACCAGGCTTTGGGGGGGCGCGTGGAAGGGTGCCGTAACCCCCAGGGCATACACAGACAAGAGCACAGCGAAGGCTCGAAGGCAGGCAGAGACAGCTCGATTTCAATCATGGCAACGAAGAGAGGGAAACCCACTGGAAAAGAGGGGATCCAGAGTTTGGGAGGCATGGGACGTGATTCAACAGCAGAGGGAAAGAGAGGTCCGGATTGGCAGGTGGTAGACCACACAAGGGGTCGGAGTAAGACAGAAAGGAAATTAAAAGGAAATCCCTCGATGACTCCAGCGAACGCACCCAAAGGGTCACGGGAGGACAGGCAGCCATCCAAAGCGACAAACAAGGAGCCACGAGGACACAAACGGAAGGAAAAAATTTAGCGACCCAAGATCAGTGGAACCGGATCAAGGTGATGGAACGGTGGTATACGCACAACTACTGACTTACCTAGTTAACGAAGCAGCGCCGGAGTATATCCTGTACACGGTATTGCGCTTAGCGGAGCTAGCCAAGGATCGTCGATGCCAACGGTGCTGGGATGAACACGCACATGATGACGATGAGACGGATCGGATCTCCTGGAGAGCAGGATGGAAGGACGAAGTGCCACCCGAGATGCTCGAGAAATATCAGGGTATCGTTAGCCATTGGGATTGCGCTCAAGAAGAACATGTGGAGAGATTCGCCACACTCATGAGGGAATGGGTGCTGCAAGGAAATATGGCACAAGACGAGCTGGAAACGCGCTTACGACTTTTCCATTTCCTACATGATCCAACAGATAACAAGACGATTGAGGGGACTCCGACTTCTGGTAAGTCTTAAAGGGATGCAGTGGGGGGCACCGAGAAGGACGCATCAACCAAGGAGGGCATGGCTCCCACAGATCAAAAGAAATGGTATGACATGTGTATGAAACCAGCTGAGCCTGTCAGAGAGCTGAGGGAGCGGACAGAAGAGGAGAACCAGGCTCTAGTGATGATACTCAATCATCAACTGGAAGTGCCTGTACCCCCGAGATTCCTGGTTCTATCGATGACAGTAGTAGAGCTGGCAGCATTCACCGACATATTCATGGCGCTTATATACCCACTTTATGCTCATCTGGCACCGGGCCAGAGATATGGTACTGGGTTGGGCAAACAGAGCATCATGCAAATGATTCAAGTGGGGGCCGAGGCAGCTCTACCCCAAAAGCAGGAGATAGCGGAATTCAAAGCTGCCATTGCTAGAATAGAAATAGACCCGGAAAGACGTCTGGTCATTGTCACATTCAAAGGCAAAAGATCGGCGCAGAAATGGGTAGGGTGGAAGATGCCGATGGGAATGCGCATGCTTCCTTTACGAGACTACGAGCAACAGCGAGAGGAAGCGCAGAGGAGCAACAAATTGGTACCGCTGGATCTCTATACATTCACAGCGGCAGTCAGAAAAGGCGCACTGACCTCAGCGGACATGTACTGGTTACTGACGGTCAGGTTGGATCTAGAGGTTAAAACGATGGCTCATGTAGAAATCGAGGGCGCAGGGATTAATGATAAGCAGTGGACAGTGACGATTGCGGCGAGCGCCTGCCCGGTGGAAATGAGGCAGATGGTTTATATCATGATCGGGGACTCCATCGTCCAGTTCCATCACCACACAGTTTTCGTCAATTGGCCCTGTGTGCTGTGCGGGGCACCAGAGCACCCGACAAAGTATTGCAGGACAGCTGTGGAGCAACAGCAACGGAAAAAAGTGGAGCACACGCGTACCATAGAGGCACGATTCCCGTCCCAACGGGGCACGAGTGGGAGGACCTATCGCTCGGCCAAACACCCCACTACTCTGGCCCAGCTGATGGCAAAGATTCAAAGTGAGCTACAGGCTGCACACGAAAGCGTCGCAGAGGTTAAAAAACAAATCGAGCCCCCAGAGACTCCTCACATCACGAAGAAGCACAATGGAGCAGCAGCACGGGAGGACCGACCAAAGCTGCCTGGACACTGGGAGCAAATTAGACGACGCCACCACGAGGCAACCGGTTCACCGAGTCCAACTATGAGGGTTCACAGTGAGCAGGCGGGGGGGGGGGGAAGAGCAATTCGGAGGAAGAGAGAGGTGAAGGACCCCCCCACTGCACGCACGGAACCCAAAGGACAACGATAGACAGACCTCAGTCAGCCAGGCGTCCTACCGCAAAGGCTGCCGGCAACACCGAAGTGACGAATGCGAGAGCGAGATCAACATCCCCGAAGCGCAGAGCACCGGAGGACTGGGAGAGAGGCGACGGGCACGACTCGGATACCACAAGTAGCTCACCCAAGAAGACGCATAGAGAGACAGTGGCCGTCTATGCGAGACAGAGCAAGACGAGCGATGCTACCATGGGTGAGAAACAAGGGAAACACGTAACGCAGCAGTACATGCATCAGTATTTGAAGCAGGTAGGAGATCCAGTGGACTACGTCAGCAGGGAAGGAAAGTCAGAAGAACGCCCAGCAGCAACATGGGAGTCACATGGCCACATGATCACTGGAGGGACGGACGCCACAGACATCGGGCAACCATTACACACGTGGCTGAACATTCTGGATGGAAGAGTTACTGACGTCCCAGCTACTGGACAATGTGGATGGCTCGCATTCCACTCGGCCCTGCACAATATGGAGGGAGACCTATTTCCGATCACGTCAGAGAGAGTGGAGGAAGTGAACGCCCTAAAAAAGCAAACTCTAAATGGGATGATTGCAAACGCGGCAGATGAAAGACGGCTGCACCTGGAAGACTTTCGGGCGGATCTGGAGGCAACAGGGAAGGTCCAAACAAACAGTCCCACTGATGAAGAAAAACTGCAGATACTGGTGGATCATTCTGTGGAGCAACGTGCGAATTCGGTCAAGACCACGGTTGCGATGAACTACTGGGTGCGATCCTCACATATCAAGGCCATGGCAATGCATGCGCGAGAAATGGTGTTTGTACTGGATGTGAGTGAAGATGATAACGCCAGGCTTCAGGGTTATGCGTATCATGAGATGACACACGACGACGGGACAACGGTGGAAACGGGCACGGTGGAGGCACTACCAACGGAATTGGGTAGTCCCTTACTCAAAGACCTAGTCAGGGCAGGTACCCTCCCAGTAGTCATGATTCTAAGATACAAAAGCACCGGTAACCACTACCAAGCGATAACCTACGACCAAGCAAGATTCACAGAGTACTGCAAAAGATAGGAGGAGCTGGCGGGGTCACGTAACGACGTACTAAAACAGTACGGAGGCAGTTCACTCGATCCACACCCATTTGATGTACAGAAGACAACGCAGGCTGCGGCACAAGAGCTAAAGCGTATCAGAAAGGCAGCAAAACTCAGCAGGCGGACGTTACAGAGTCAGATAGGGAGAGAGGAGCGAAACACAGCCGGAGAGAACCGTCAATCCAGTGACATGCAGGTCCAAACGATGACCACCGAGGAAGGCATGCACGCCGAAACACTGGTGCAGAAGGAGCTGAAAGGAAACGCATCAAGCACAACAACACTGAACGAAGTGGCAACGAAGGAGGAGGTGTACAAGACAGTCCAGCAATCGCTCCAGACAGCGACAAGCCAGAGAACAACAGAGCAGCGTGTTCTGACTCATCGAGCCCACTACCCTCCCGATCCATCAATTAAGCCCAAGGTGAAAGGCGCTTCATCGCAATACACTGAAAGAGAAGAGCAATATAATACAGAAGACAGGGCAGAGAGACATATAGCCGCCCCCAAGCCAGATCGATCCCATGAAAGGAAGCATTAAGCAAGGGACTTGTCAAGAGGAGGAGGACGAGCAGCGGAAGGGTGAAGGTTCACGGTCACTTCAAGTATACTTTGACACGGTAACACAACAGCAGAAGAAAAAACAGACAGAAGCGGAATTTAAAACCTTAAGACGGAAACACGCAAGAATAACAAAAACGAACACAAAACGGAAGACCAAGCTACAAGTGCCTCAACATAGGCTAGACAAAACAATTGGATGCGCCACTTACAGCGTGAGAGGCCTTGCGACGCATATCCTAAAGGTGAGCACTTACCTTCAAGGAATCAAAGAGAAACATGAGCGAGGACAGAGAGACATCATCTTTGTTCAGCAGACGCATTTAAATGAGGAGGAGCACATCTTGGCGGCTACACAGTATGCGGCAATGTGGGGTTTTAAGAGACAATTTGGGAGTGACCTGTCTCTATGGTCGTCAGGCGCCCAACGAAGCGCAGGGGTGGCGATCCTGCTGAACCCGTATGGGTCAATCAAGAATATGAATCCGTGGCAGGAGAATCTATGGAGCGAGTACCTAATCATGGCAACAGGAGAAATTGAGAGCGTACGATACCTGTACATCAATATCTATGCGCCGTCCCACGGGCCCTCACGGGTGCAGTTCTTCAGACAATTAAGAAGCATCGTTTTCCCAGATAACATCAAGATAATCTGCGGCGGGGACTTCAATTGCGTGCTGCAAGGAGAGCTAGACAGAAGAGGTGGAGCAAGCAGGATAGAGACAGGTGCAACCGAGTTGGAGCAGTTCATACAACATGCAGAACTGGTAGACGCAGGAGGCTACAACTACCCAGCCTCGACGACTATATCAGAAAAGGTCGACTATGCGCGTAAGCATCATACCTATCGTTATCAAATAGGCAAGGAGCAATGGGGATCATCGCGATTAGATAGGTGGTACATTAGTGGATCAATGTGGAAGCAACTAAGAGGAATAGTGACCGAAACGGCCCCATGCCCAACAGATCACCGCGGAGTACTACTAGAGCTCCACTACCCGATGGGAGCAATCAGGATACGGAAGCGCAGTGTGCCGTATCCATGTCCGAGATTTGTTCAAGCCGCAACGCAGGATTTGATAGAGAAACGTCTAGAGAGGCACGCGTTCGAAACAGCAGCATGCCCGGATAACCAGGTGCCTCAACACTGGGAACGGTTCAAAAAGAACATATGCAAGGAGATGATAGCACTCAAAAAGACCGCCAGACAGCGGACAACGTCTGGGTATCGACAGCGAATTAGACGACTGAAGAAAAGACTTAGCATAGGTTTTGGAGACGAACGGCAAGAAGAGGGGGAGCGGAAACGCCTGATCATACAGCTCAACGCAATTCAGGCACAGCATCGAGCAATCAAGAGACGAAACCTACAAAATTAAACCGCCTGGAGCTCGACAGCGTCGACCAAGTTCTTCTTCAAACGCATATCGACGAAAATGGGAGACAATACGATTCCACTGCTCCGAGGAGAGCAAGGTGTCAGGCAGAGATCCTGCCATGACAAAGCCAATACCTTCGCCGATGCCTGGTCCAAGGTCTTGGATGGAACATCGGCGCCTTTAGACGACATTAGGAATTACGTGGACACTATGACAACATCCAAGAGCAAAACGGATCTAATGGAGATAGATGAACTAATCACAGAAGAGGAGGTCAGCAAGGCCATCACGAGGTGCAAAGCGGGGAAGGCATGCGGCCCGGACGGACTGGGGAATGAATGGTACAGGGATCACAGTACTCGCCTGGTCCCTCTCCTCACCCGCCTTTATAATATTTGTCTGAGCACAGGAGTGATCCCGCCATCATTCCAAGAGTCCTACATCTTCAGCATCTCAAAGGGAGGCGACAAAAGTGACCCGCTGAACTACAGACCAATAGCCTTACTCAACACTGATTACAAGATCCTCACACGCATTCTTGCGTGGCGGGTACGCAAGCACATAATGCTTCTGGTACATCAAACACAATTCGGATTCGTCCCAGGACGGAACATCCATGACTGTATTGATCTACTCGAGGCTGCAAAAGTGATCGCAAACGGAACACCGGAGCTTAGCCATGCACAAGCATTATTGCTCGACTTCGCTAAGGCTTACGACTCATTGGATAGAGAATTTTTATACGCAGTACTAGAAGCGAGAGGTTTTCCACCCAAATTTGTGCGGATCGTGAAGGTCACACATCTAGAAACCACGGCTCGGTTTATGGCGAATGGAGACCTGTCCAGTCCCATAACAGTCAGAAGGGGAATACGGCAGGGATGCCCACTTGCACCTCTACTGTTCATCATCGCTGTGGATATACTATACGATGCCATCTGGGCCACACAAGACCTCCACGGCATCGATCTGGACGAGAAAGGTGGGCTGCAACTAAGAGTAGCTGGATATGCGGACGACACAGCGGTGTATATCACAGATAGGACCATGCAGCAGCAAGTCCTGAACGCGGTAGGCCTGTTCTCCAGAATGTCAGGCTTACACCTGAACATCAACAAGTCCGTGGCGATCAGACTGGGACCAATGATAGCTAACGACGAAGCGGGACACATCCGGGACGGCACAGGCCAGGCAGCTGAGCGGATCGAAGTGACGGATGACACACGCTACTTGGGGCATATGGTTGGATCGGGTAACATGGTGCGGACAGCATGGGCGAGAGCGTTCGCAGCTCTCATAGTAAGACTAGCGCTAGCAGCAAAGAAAACTAACACTGCCCAGGACAGGGCCACCATAGCAGCCACTATCATTATGCCCAAAATGATGTACGTAGCGAGACACGCGTGGCCGACGCAAACGATTATCCGCGAAGCGGACTGGAGGGTGAGGAATTTTGTCTGGAACTCAAGTTTCGCGAGTCCGCTGAATCCGCCAAAAGGGTGGATCAGCGCCGACATAGCTGAGCTCCCAGTAAAAGATGGAGGAATAGGATTGCCAAATATCACCACGGAACTCATTGCAATGGCAGCAATGGCAGTGGGAGAGTGGTCCATGTCCTCAAACGAGCTCAAAACGAAGTGTGGGCATGTGCTGCGACAGGATGCAACGAATGAGGACACGCATATTACCCCAATACGTAAGCGCTACTCCAAGAGTGTCACTGAGGACATGTGGAGCACTGGGCAACCACTGGTGACGACCTGGTTTGGACCAGAAGAGGTTCCGGCAAGCGACGAAGTACCAACTGAACAGGAGTTACGGAAGCTACTGAGACACAGGAACGGACTAAAGACACGGTGGGGGAACCAAGGTTTAAGATGCGAATTTATCGACTTAGCCAATGGGCCGATGGAGAAGATGCGCAGGCATCGCAGGCTTACCCGAGGAGACTATATTCATCACGCAGTAGGGAACCTAGGGATACGGGAGATACAGTGGCGAGACGCACTCGGAACCATCAAACCGGGTTCGGCTTACCGATCACTACTAAATGGTACGAAAGGATGCAGAGTCAAAGATATAATCCAGATTATCTGGGAAGCAAAGGGAATAGTGACCTTCTCGCCAGTGTCGCTACAGCTCCCTATGACAAGCAGTATGGCTCACAAGTTTAGGGAGCTATGCCTCTCCTTCTTAGCCCAATTTCCCGAGCTGGCGTACAAACCCACCGAAGACAAGGTGCTACGAGTGAGCCATGGCCTGGATGATCCACATCATCAATTCTGGGTAGACAACAGCGGAGCACGGAAGCAGGTCATGCATGGCTGGAGTACGCATCTACAGAAGGTAGCCAAGGACATGGAACTGACCACAGCAATAGCGGCATCCCTAGACACAAATGAGCGGCAGGTTTGGATAGTGCCACATCCGTGGCTAACCGGAATGCAACCACTATGGGCGGGAAGAAGACGCTGGGCACAAACCAGAAAAGGTTACAAGAAGGTGATTACCAAGCAAAAGAAGCAAAAGGCCCATAACAAACTCAAGCAAATAGCCGAAAAAGGGGCCAGAAAGAACAAACCAA